TGAATACATAAACTATGGTTTTGTGTAATTACCACAATTTTAAATCCGGCTAGATCAAAACCCTTTTTCATCGTTATTTATTTTTGGACTGAACTTGACATTACAGTCCAACATAAATGAAAAGGAAATTTATTTGTGAGGCATCTCTAATCAAATTTAGTGCTAAACCAACATTCTTCCCCCCTCTTTCTCTCTCTCTCCAAACTATATAGGCCATTAAATTCGAGCGCTTGACATGCAAAAAGAAAACTAGGAAATAAATATACAAGGCGTGGAAAAAGAAATAAGAAATTAAATGAAAAGATTGAGCCAACAAAAAATTTACTAACTCCCTTCAGGAATGTCAATTCGACTCGTCGGCACAAGCGGCCCACGGCTCAATCCGAAAAAAGCTAGAGCCTGCTCGACTCGCGACTCGGTGGATCCGAGCCAAGGCTTAAATCGGGCCTCATTTGGGGGCGATGGCCCGTTCAACATGGCTGGCAAAAGTGACCAGTGTCGCAGTACAGCTATCTACTTCATGCAACAAGAAGCTGCATGCAAAATATTATTAAAAAAATAAATCGAGCCGGCTCGGTAGGCCCGAACCAACCTCAATTTTTCAGGCGAGCTTTGGATTGGCTCACTTGGCTCAGCTCGGGCCAAAAAATTCCATGCCGTTTTTTGCTCGGGTCGATTTGTTCACATCCCTACCTCTCCCCTTCAAACCCCACCAACCCAAAAAAGTAGCATCTTTTCTTTCAGAATAGGTGAATATAGATCAGCATAACCAACCCCATATCACTACAAATTTTCTCAATGTGCCTTCAACTATGCCCTCCTTTTGTTAAAATTTTTGTTTATGTTTCAAATTTTCGTACTTATCTAAGCGAGTATATAGGTATATTTGCTCGTATGTAAAAAGGGAAGATATATGATTGTACCATGAATCGATTGTACAATATAATTGAATGAATGGACCTGGGTAACTTCTCACATGAGGAAAATTTATATTTTGTCACGTGAAAGATTAAATTTCGAGTGCTCAGATCTTTCACAAATGTACAGCTTATCTCGAGTAAACTTGCATCCATGACTAGCAAGCAACAAGTGCTTTCGCCTGTTGCATAGTGTGTAGTTGCTTTTAATCCAACAAAATAACAAATTGACACATAATCTAGAAAGTGTTTTAGCCAACATAATATCTTTGACGAAGCCAAAAAAATATCTAGTGTCAGAAAGTCCAGGTCACAAGATTGACATTGCTCTTAACCAGTTTGAGCAAGTCAACATTCGTTCAACTATCAAACTCCAATTTCATCTTAATCTTCATAAATGACCTTTGCATTTGGTGATGTGCGCTCGAATTTGTTCAACTCCTTCAAAATCCCAAATCCTTTGTCAGCAATATCCTTGGCTTCTGCCAATATTACCATTTCTTTCAGCTTTGATGTCTTCTCCAATAAAATATTAATAAATGCCATATCAAGAATTGTTCCAGTAATACATGTCAACTTCACTTTCTGAATGGAAGGCAGAGAATCAAAAAACTCAATGAAGTAATTTTCATATTCCATGATGTTGTAATCTGCATAATCACTACATTCAACAAATTACACTATTTCCAGAAGTGGGGATTTCTTAAGACGAACAGATGTAGGGGGATATGTCAATGCCAAGAGTTCTAGCATAGGAGCATTGATTTCTAAGTAGTCAAATTTGTTTGGGACCTGCAACACCAGTTCCTCCAGTAACGGACAGCTCGATATCAAACTTTCTAGTACTTCATGATTAATGGTGACTTCACACAATTCCAGCCTAATCATCCTATTAAATCCTTTGAAGCTTGGTGGAGGATTGAAGAGACAAGTTGAAAGACTCAAAAGTTTCAATTGCAGACACATAAACAGTGAAGAAGGCAATCTGTTCTCTTCTCCATACTTGATTCTAAAGGTGAATTCTTCAGCACCGTTCTTCCATAAGATATACATCAAGTGGTCAATTTCTGAACAACTTCCAAGTGCTGGAATAACTAGGCTCAACTTAGTTATGGGTCCTT